GCAGCCGAAGGCACCTCCCGGCTCCTGGGGCTGGAGTGACCCCGCCAGCAGGGTGCACCCCGTGTCCTTGCGTCGGGGGTGGGGTGGGGGTCAGGAGAGACTGCCAGCAGCTGTGCCATAGCCTTCCCACGGCCGCACGGCCGTGCCAGTGCCTTCACTACTTCCGATCCTCCGCGTCGGCGGTGTGGTCTTCCCCAGAATGACTCAGCAGACCCGTTTTAATGAATTGTCGGGAGCACTTCCCGTCTAAGCATTAACTTTACCTTTTGTATTGGTGTGTGCGCGCTTGTTTCTGTGAATCTGTGATTGTACTATTTGTTCTGTGAGCTGGAAACAGAAGAAAAAAAACACACCGCTGGATACCCATAGCTAATAACTGGAAGCAAACGAGGTGAATTTCACGTCAGTGGCCAGAGCGGAAGTGGGTGCTGTGCCGACTCCTCACACAGGGGTTCCTCTGTGTGACAGGAGTTGCGATCAGGTCCTCGCTATCACAGGATGTGGCCAAGGAAGGTTGCGATGTTACTCAAGCCAAAACCAGGAAAGACATGTAGCTTCAACCTCATATGTTGGAAGTGGTCACAGTCCAAATTTCAAGACATCTGTTCTTAATTTACAGAGAAGTCACCTCCCCACCGCCTGACCTATGGAAGATAGGCTTGGGTGTTACACAGTTCATCCCCTCCCTGTTCGGTGTATGTTGTTGTTGTTATTATTATTATTATTATTTTATTATTATTTTTAGTTCACCAGTTTGCTGGGCTCTGCAGTCAGCAGAAACAAGTGGGCAATATTTGTCCTGGGAGACCTGCGCCACCCCCCCCACCCCAGTCCCGTGCCAAGTGCCTGAAGCTCTCGCCAGCGCGCTGCAGTGACAGCTCATCTACTGTACCCAGACAAGCCCTCTTCAGTGACTGTGGGGTCCAGCGGGGCGCGGGCCCTGCCCAGGCAGCTTCAGAGAAGGCCAGGCGCCCTGTCTCCCTACCAAGCCCACCCCGTCCCCGCCCAGGCTATGCTACTGTCCTTTGGAAAGCAAGGAAATACTACTACTGGTAATAAACTACGAGCAAGGTGTGGGACAGAGGTTTGTCAGCCCTTCCTGGACGTGGGGCAGAGCTAGAAGATGACCTGCTGTCGCCAGTCCTCTGGGGCCTGTTCCGGCACAGAGAGGGGAGATCGCTGAGCACCCGCCGCACAGGGATGCAGCCCTTGGCTGCCACCGGGCCCTGCACCTTCCTCCTCTCCAGGGTGCGGCTGACCCGGAGCTGTGGAAGGTCTCTGCAGATGAAGCGGTCGAGGTGCACACGATGTTAACTGCTCAGGGTGCGTGACCCAGCCTGAATGAAGTTTCCTTTCCTGTAGAGGGGAGTGCACATCATAACCAATGATCCCTTGGTGTCTTCTAAGTTAAAACCAGTTCACGCATCCCTTGGTGGTTTTTTTATTATTATTACTACAGTTGTTTTCATTATCATTATTTGGGGTTTCTCGTGTTTTGTTTTTCTTTGCAACTCTCCACACTAAACTCTGCATACTGTGGGGAGAGGCCAGGACTAAACTCCGCTGCGGTGATGTAGCTGGGCGCATGGCCCCAGCGCAATAATCACTATCAACTTAAAGCTTTACTTAGCCTGGATCTGTACCTACATAGTCAGTAAGGTCTTGCCACGTTTTCTTAGTGAGGTTGAGAAATGTATTATTTGTTTGTTGTTCCCCCCCCCATATTAAACTGTGAAATTTGTGATTTGTTGAAACGCTGGGTGAATCATAGCTTAGTTTGCATGTCCAGCTAATTTGTTTCTATACATTTTGTTTGATTCTCTTTCTCCTTCTCTCAGGGCTTTTACAAAATATATATATATATACATATATATATGTATGTATGTATGTGTGTGTATATATATATATATATATGGATCTTCTGAAAAGTTTTTTGAGGTGCAAGTTGTTTTCTCTTTTGTTTTTCCTCTTTGATTAATGGACACAATGCTGAGATTCAATCACTACAGGAAGCACCTGGCTGTGAGAACAGAACAAACACCCAGGAGCTGTTTGCAGACAGCCCCCGAAGGAGGCCGGCCTCAGATCCAACCGCATCGTCTCTCTCCTCTCCCTCTCCAAGAAGGAAGTTGATCCTAGTGATTTCAGCCCATGCATTCAACAGGAAGCAATAATAAATATGTAGAATTCATATTTTTCTAAAGGGAACTTAAAAACTGCTGCTACATGTCATGTACAAAAAAGGTTAATGCCACGTGAACAGAGAATCACAAGTTTGGTTTTGGTACTTTTTGTTCCTCTTTGTACTCAGTTGTATAGAACTTCCAAATCCAGAATGAAAAGAAAGCTGTTCTGTATCGAACCATCTAAGCAATAAATGTCATATTTTAAAAGCGGCAGATTGCCGGTCACACGGCCGTCCTGTGACTTGCTGTGCTCTGTGCCCAGACCTGCGGCCACTCATGTTTGTTTGGTACTTTTTGTTCCTCTTTGTACTCAGTTGTATAGAACTTCCAAATCCAGAATGAAAAGAAAGCTGTTCTGTATCGAACCATCTAAGCAATAAATGTCATATTTTAAAAGCGGCAGATTGCCGGTCACACGGCCGTCCTGTGACTTGCTGTGCTCTGTGCCCAGACCTGCGGCCGCGGGGGCCGGGCCACTGGGGTGCGTGCCTGGCCACACGGTTGTCCAGGACGGTCGGCCCCACATCGCGGTGAGGCTGAGCAGGACAAAGGGGCCGTGGGGTGGGAGCGGGGTGGTTTGCCGTCCAGCAGCCTGAGTGGTAAAGGAGACGCAGAGGGGCAGGGCCCCAGGCCGCGTCCCCCAGGGCTTGCCCCGCTTGTGGGCTTGCCAGCTCCACGGCGGCTCTGGACTGGTTGGAGATCGGGTCGCGCTGGAGTCCGCATTCTCCCACGCGGCTGGGGTTGCGGGCAGAACGCCACACCTGGCCCCAGACGCTATTCTGAAGGGGCCTGTCGCCTCCCAGCTCTGCTCCCCGAGGAGGCCGGAGGGAGGGCCCGGGTGTATTTTAAACTCGTAATTGAAGGTTGCTCACTCATGGCAACAAAGTTGAACCCTCCCAAGTCCAGGCTGCCAGTCTACGTCTTAAATAGGAAACAAGTCCCTCCTTTTCCGGGTTCCTTGGAAAAAAAGCCACTGCCAAACATGACGCCATCAGCCCGGCTGTCTGGGCGGCAGTAACCGCGCGGGCAAAGGGAGGCTGCAGCAGCCCGGCCCTGCCGCCTGCCAAACCCTCCACAGCTCTTCTGTGAAAGGAGCCCCAGATAACGTGGAAAGTTGCAGAATTCTTCTGAGACAGGGTCTTGTCGTGAGGACTTCAGGCTGGCTCAGTTTCCTAATGCAGGAATACTTGCGGTCATCTCTCCTCTGCGTGCACGGCTGTGGCCTCTGAAATGCGCAGGCGGACTGGACGGTACCGCCTGACCACCGTGAGTCCCCAGGTCTCATCTCCGTGCACCACAGCGTCACAGCTCAGCCCTGGATGGGATACAGGGGCTCAGCCAGTCCCAGAGCCCCGAGATCCATTCTTCCCCTGCCAGCTCAGCCCCGGGACAGTTCCGGGGGCGCTGGCTGCGCATCCTGGGCCCTGGTTCTGGGCGGCAGCAGGGCCGCCGCCTTCAATGCCTTTTAGCTCTGAGGTCCGAGGTGCGGGTGCCTCTCCCGGCACCCACGGAGCGGCCGCAGAGCTGCGCGTCCTCGGGGGCATCCTCCGGCCGATCTGTAGGTCAGCCCTACAGGAGGCTGGAGCTGCCACCGAGGACCCTGTTTGGGGGCACCTGGGCGGGGCCGGTCTAAGTCCCCGCCGTGCATCCCGGGCCCTGCCCCTCTGCGTCTCCATCCGCGACTCCTGGAGCCCCGGAGGGGACACCCGGCAGCTGAGGGGACTTGGGCCTCCGCGCACTTCATCTCGGACACGGCGCGAAGGGGAGCGCAGTCCCCGCACCGTGGGACTGGGCCTCGGTTCCTCTACAGAGCTGGGAAGGGAAAGGTGGGCTGCGAGTGCCCCGGTATCTGAAGGTAGCGGCCTGCTTCGCGGTCGCCGTCCGCCCTCAAGGGCGAACTTGAACTTTCCTGGGCCGCGTGGGGGTGCCCGGCTGGGAACCCGGCGCGGCGCCCTCTGCCGACGGCGCCTGGAATTGCTCCCCGCCTGGCTCCTCTCTTCCTTGTGACCCGGGGTCTCAGGCGCGACTCTCATTGTCATCGCGCGCGCTGGACCCAAGTTCAATTCTTGGTGTTATTTAGACAGGATCCCACTGTGTCGCTTAGGCTGGCTTTGAACTGAGTTAAAACAGCAGGGACAGCGGGCCGCACCTCTGTCCTGGTTTAAGCTTTCTGTTTTGCGGGGGTTAGGGGCGTGCTACAGATTGAACCCAAGGCCTTTACACTCAGCCATTTTTTATTTTTATTTTTTAAAGGACCTTAAGTCACTAAGTTGCCCAGTCTGGTTTCAAACTTGCAGTCCTCCTGCCTCAGACTCCCAGAGTGCTGAAACTTCAGGTGTGTATCCAACCCAGGCTTAGAATCCTAAAGATAGAAGGGGTCTTGTGTATTTTTCAGGAACTTGGAGGCTGCCTGCCTCCAAGGCAGTTTGGTAATAAAATGAGGGGTCAGGAAGGGCTGCTTAAACGTGAGAGATGGTTTCTCCTAAATCACCCAGAGCCCCGGCCACATGTGTACCCAGGGAACAGCAGGACATGCTGCCCATGGGCTGATCATGTCCCCTGCCCTTCACTCGTGAGGTTCGGGACACCCGGACAGGATAGAGTTTGGAGACAGGTCTTCCAGGAGGTAAAGATTGAAATGAGCCCACGAGCCCTGGGCGGTGTCCTTCTAAGGTGGAAAGACAGGAGGAGCCAGCCGCCCGGTCTCCATCCCAGCCTCCGGGCCATGAGATGAATGTGCCCGGTGAACAGCTTGCTCTGTGGCAGCCCAGTGACTGCCCAGCAGTCAGATGGTCCTGGGGCCAGCGGACAAAGAGGATGCTCTTCATTCCAGCTGCACTTGCCAAGCCAGAACCGTGGGTCAGGTAAGCAGGAAGCTCTCTGGTAAATGTCAGGGACCATCACTAGCTGTCTTAGTCACCTTCTCACCACCACTGTGGGGACACAATACCTACACCCACAATGTGAGGAGGAGGGGTTTACTAGGGCCCACATTGTCCTCACACCGTGAATTTGGCATGGCAGAGGGGCCTGGCGGACGAGGACTGCTCACAGCTTGGTGAACAGGAAGCAGAGGGTCAAGTGAAGAACCAGGGAGAGAAGCACTTCCGGGTCACACCCAAAATGCCTCCACCCATAACAGCAAGGCAGCTCTGAACCCCGGAACCCCCTCACCTTCCCAAAGCCCCACTGTGAGCCTGTGGGGAACATTTTAGAACTTAAGCTACAGCACCAACACTACTGTCCACACTTGGTGCCATCTTAAGTGTTCCCAGAAGAACATACAGGGCGAGGCCCAGGAACAGTGCCAGGTGAGTTGTAAACCAAAGTGACAGATCTTTTCTAGGTACCTCTGGTACCACGCAGGGTGTGGGAAGGGCTGCCTTAGTCACATTCTCTTCCCCACCTTTCATTGCAGATATCTTCACAGCATCCAGAACAAGAAGAAAGGGGTCTGTTTAATTTTGTTGAAAAGGGGAAATGCCCCTGGCCTGCAACTGGGTGGAGCCCTCAGTCCGCTGTGACAAGCCCAGGGCTTCTGGTGTGCTGCTGGGTGACAACCACTGGTGTGGCACAGGTAGGGACTCCAGGTCCCACTCAGAGCCCACCGAGGAGTGCCCCTCCCTGCTAGCCGTTGGGTTTGAATTCACTTCAGAGTCTCCTGGAAAACTGCAGCTTCTGGGCCAGTCCCTGATGCTCATTTAGCAGGAGTCAGGGTGTGGATCTAAAACGTCCCATCCTGCGTGTCCCAAGATGGGGCTTTTAGAAGCTGATTGGATCCCACAAGCTGTAATTTCATCAGTGACTTAATGCACTAACAGATTTGATGGCGTTTGGGGAGGTGAAAGAAACTTCGGAAGTGGGGCTTAGTTGGAAGGGGTGGTGCGTGTGGGCATGGTTGTAAGGACTGCATCTTGTCCCTGTCCCCTTCCTCTCCTGCTGACATCCTCTGCTTGCTGGTCACCTTCACTCCTGACAGCTGCCTGGAGACCATGGACTGAACCGCCCAGAACCATGAGCCAAGATGACCTTCTCCTCCCAGAAGTTGTGTCCCAGCCACACAAGGGGCTGAGGATGCCTGTGGATCGCGGCTGGCCTCCTCAGACGGAGAGTTGTCAAGGATTTTCTTTCCTGGATGTAATGCTATGTCCAGTGGCCCTGGGTCCTCCTTACCTTTTCCTCCTCTCTACCCAGCCCCCTCCCACCCCGCCACCCCAAATGTGTTCCTGCTGCAAGTGCTCTCAGGTGGCTAAGGACAGGGACCTCAGCCCTGGCCTGGATTCCTTGGGCTGGCCCTCAGCGCGGGACGCACTCACACCCAGACTTTTCACCGGTTTCACTCCAGTTGGCTTCCTCGCAGTCCAGCTCACCCCGGATCACACTGAAAGACCCAGAGGCCTTGGGGAGCCGGCCAGGTGGGCCCGTGCCTGGGAGGCCCAAGGACACGATTCATGCACCCGCCCACCTGCATGCCGTGCCAACAGCTGGGCCGCCTCCGTCCCTGGCCTATTCTCTCCTGCCTCAGCCTCCACCTGTGTCCCAGGGGGACCAAGCCGGCTCCAAGGACCCTACAGCATGGGCCCGGGCTGGCGGGGACCCCATCCCCATCCGCAGGGCTGGCAGTGGGGACAGCTTCCTGCGAAGTCTGCCCCAGGATCCACAGCAGCTGCTCCTCATGCGCCAGAGCCCCCCAGGCAGTGAGCTCCTGGTCTGGCGCTATCCCAAGCAGGTGGCTGGGCCTGGGCACAGAGGGGTCCTCTGGAGCGTGGGGCCGTCAGTGCATCTCCCTCTGCCTGCACCTGGGAGAGCATGAGGAGAAATGACCCTGCAGCAGATCCATGCGGGCTGGGCCGTGGGCCCCGGGGTGGCAGGGATAGGCCGCTGCGGTGACCCCTGAGCTGCCACACTGAGATGAGCACAGCGTCCTTCCTGCTGCCCCTGCCAAGCGCCACCAGATGCTGACGGGGGCGGGGGTCCTGTGAGGTGACAGGGAAGAGAGGCGCGAGTGGGACGCCCCTCAGTGACCAGAGTGCAAAGCAAGTGCTTCCTTAGCCAACAGCTCAGTGCCCACGAGGCTCAGAGCCCAGCCGCTGGGGTGACCGGGACACGGGGCGCGGTGGTGCACTCCCACAGGCTGTGGCAGGAGGACTGCGAGTTTGAGCCCAGCCTGGGCAACTCGGCAAGACTGTCTCAAAATGAAAAATAAAGGGCTGGGGGTGCAGATCAGTGTGAAGGCCCTGGGTTCAACCCCCATCACCGGGAGGTTGGGGGGGTGAGGTAGGCGGGGCTGGGCCAAGCAGAATCTGTAGCTCAGGAGACACAAAAGGTGGCAGAGGCCGAGAACGGAAACAATTGCCCTCCCACACAGCACCATGGGGACCCCTGTGTGGCGGGGCAGCCCTGTGTCTGCCGTCAAGTGAGCTGCAGGCAGCCTGCCTCGATTTACCCAGAATGGTGTGGTGCACCTCCCTGGGGTTGAAGTGGGGAATAGGGAAAAGAAGCAGCAAGATATATCACTTGCAATACAAATTCCCAGCATGGTACCAATAAAGATTTTAAAATGCAAGGGAAAAAGACCCTCCCTTGACAGCAGGAGAGCGAGGCGGGCACTCCCTGCCCCAGACCCCTTGGGTCCCACGGCGGGAAGAAACCCAGCTAGCACCTTGGTGGGGGATCAGGCAGGGAGCCCAGGTCAGACTCTGGGACACCCCACCTGGCCCTGTAACAGCCAGCTGAATCCTAGCTCCAAAGCTCGCCAGCGCCTACGGGTTAAATCACACATCTGGAGCGACAGGACTGAGGTCTATGGCCAGGTGTATTGTTGCATTCCCAGAATCCCAGCACTCAGGAAACTGAGGCAGGAGGATCACAAGTTTGAGGCCAGCCAGAACTACACGAGACCCTGTCTCAAAAATTAGTAAGAGAAAACAAACTAATAGCCATTGTTTTAACCTTTTTCTCTTAAGTCAACCCTCCAACCCTTTTAATTATGTAATCCAACAAAATCTGGGAGGTTCACAACATCTTCATAAAGACAGTGTTTCCTTGAAGACAGAATTACCTAAGGGGAATATTGTGGGAAAATGTATTTTAAATCTACTGTTGGCTTGGCCGGAATGAAAGATGGGGTTGTTATATAGCAAACCCCGGGGCCTCTACTACCACCTACACCCCAGCCAAAAATATGATTCTGTTATTTTCTATACAGGGAATGAACCCAGGAAGTCCTGTGCTACCTCCCCAGCCGCCTCTGTTTATGAGACAGGGTTTCACACTGCAGCCCAGAGTGGCCTGGAACTTGCCAACCTCCAACCTCAGCCTCCCAGTATTTAGGATTACAGGTGTGCACAAACCTGTCCTGAAGGGCGACAGAGGTGACAGCTCTCTTCAAATACACAGGGTGTTTCCTAAAGGAGATGTGGGGCTCTGGCAGAGGACGCAGCAGGGGCTGAGCCCTGGAAGAGGGGGCAGTGGCCTCGGAGGTGACAGGAGTCTCAGGACGGGTGTTAAGGAAACAGGATGCTAGTGCCGCGCTCGGTCTCCTCTACCCAGACCCGACTTCCCACCACCTGCGGCCTCTGATGCCACCCGACAGCCAGCGGGGATGGCCCTGTGGGGACGGAGGACTGCAGCGGCTGGTGACTCAGTCCAGCACAGTCCCGCTCACCTACGCGGGGCCAGCATCCGGGGGCGGGGAGCACTCAGCCACTGCTGTGCCAGAAGAGGGCAGCAGAGCACAGGTGACCGGAGCGGCCCCAGGCGAGCCTTTGACTGAGGACCCTGGGCAGCCAGCAGAGCACTAGGCAGACGCTGCCTCTTCACTGGCTCTAGGACAGGCGTCTCCCTGGGCGGCCTGCCTCCCCCACCACGGTGTCATCCCGCTGTTCCCACCAGCACCGATCTCTTGCTTCGAGGCCCCACCATGATCTATTTCAGACTTTGCAGACCCGAGACCAAAACCAGGTACCTGCTACGTCAGATCCCCAGTATGGTGAGCCATCATGGTAAGCCTTGACATAGGCCTGGCCATGATTGAACTTTGAGTCACCCCGCCGGCACTGTCGCCCATAGCAATGGGCTAGTTCAACTGGTGGTCTGACCTGTTGCCTAGCAAATGTAGCCCATAATACTTGTTTTGTAGAACCTTGTGACCTTTCCAGTCTGCTACACCCTGTTTGTATTTTTGGTTTCGGTTTTAGCCTATAAATACCCCACCTTGAAAAATAAACGGGGCCTTGCTACGAAGAGAGCATGAGCCTGGAACTAAGTCTGTGAGACTGTTTGCTCTCCTGTTGTCCCTCCCTCGGGTTTGGGACCTGCTGGCAGGATCCTGACGTCGCGGCTCGAGACACCCAGCCCTGAGCCACACCCTGGCCCCCTCTCCTTTCCCTTCCTTCTACAGAACTTCACCTCATGGTCCCAGCACCATGGGAGGCTGAGGCAGGAGGATCACAAATTCGAGGTGGGTCACTTAGCAACGTAGTGAGACCCTCTCTCAAAATTTTAAAAAATGCAGGGGTCTGAGGATGTAGCTCAGTGTACAATCCCCAACATACACACACACACACACACACACACACACACACACACACACACACACACCCCTTAATTTTCTTTGGATAAGCAACAACACATCCAAGTTTTTAAAATTGGCTCATTTTCTTCTGGACTACAGAAGAGTTGTCCCAAACCACTGAGATTATTATACTCACCATACAAGGCTTAGGTGAATTTAACATTCACATTTATTGCTTCCATTATAAAATATAAGCACATCACAAACATTCCGAAGAAGAGGAAGGACCCAGCACCCTAGCACAAAAACTGCTGCAGCATTCTGATATATTTTTTAGACTTTGGACCAACCCGAAATTTAACAGAGTGTCCTAAGCACTGGGGAGAAGACACAAAAATGTTGGTTGTTACTGTCCTAATGTTTTGTACTCTTCAAAAACATTTTCTTTGAGTAGAAAAAACTGCAAACTGCACAGTTACAGACTGCCTGAGGAGTTTACATGCCTTCCGGCCAGGTTGTCAAAGAACCAGGATTGAGCTGGGGTAGGAAGTGCCCCCCAGAGCTGGTTCCTGAGGCCGCACACCTGTCCACTCCTCACCCAGGAGCACGACCCGGTTACTGAGGTATCAACATGTCATGCAGAGGGTGCGCAGGCTTTTACACCAACTTGCAGGGGAAATTAAGATCAAATCTGCGGTATTTTTCTTCCGGCTTAGTAGCGTTTGAGATGAGCTCTGCGCTTCTCATCCAGGCCCACGGTCACACAGGGACACAGGCTCACGCCGCACATGCGCACTCAAAGGACAACAGCCAGAGAGACAAAGATGCCACCAGCAGGGCCAGTGAGCAGCAGCTCAGGCCGTGGGAATAACCGGGAAAGACAGGCACTCACTGCCCCGTCGGGGTCACCAGACCTGTCTGGACACTTACGGAGCAGGAATATTCTCTCCACTTTCACTAGGTGTAGACCTGAGAGAGATGCAAGTAACAGCTCAGACACAGCCACTGCATAAAGCTTCACACTGCAGGTCATTTATAATAAACCTGATCAGAGCGTGCCACCAAAATCACATCTCCAGTGTGTAAGTGCCAGAACTAGAACCTGGGCGTGAGAGCGCACACCTGTGATCCCGGCACACTGGGAGGCTGAGGCAGAAGGACTGCAAGTTCCAGCTCAGCCCGGGCAACTTCGTGACTTAGTAAGACCCTCTCTCAATATACAAATAAAAAGAAATGGCCAGAGATATGGCTCAGTTTCAAGGCCGTGGGTTTAATCCCCGGTAACAACCCCCCATGCAAAGCCAGTCCAAGATCTTTTTGTTCTGTTTGAGGCAGTTTCACTCTGTAGTTCAGGCTGGCCTCAAACTCATGGCGATGCCCTCGTCTCAGCCTCCTGAGACGGGGTGTGTGACCCACCACATCTGGCAGCCTCTTGCAGTGATTAGGAAATAAGAGATCTTGAACCAGAGGTATTTAGGCCAAACTGAAATTCAGATTTCTTCGAAGTTGTCTAAGTTGTTGATTGTGAAGCGGGGAAAACTGAAATCCAGTTGGACTACACAGTAGAGCTACAACCAACAATCCTTTACTAACTGCTTATACGCTGCACACCACTCCCTGGGCCCCACTGGTCAGACACTCTGGGCTCTCTGTGGCCCAGGGCTGAGCCAACCTCGGGGGCCGGGCCCACAATCCCAGAGTCTAGGCAAGGACAACGCAGGTGGGCAGGAGCTTTGAGGTACCCTCTGGACCCAGAGGGCACCTCGGTGACCTGAGCCACTCGACCATGAGCTTCCACGGCCCTGGTAGGGGTTGTCACTTCCCACAGGGCCGCCCTAGCAGTGCTGTCCCACCCAGCTCCGCTGCCTGGCCTCCCTGGGTCCCGGGCACACTGGCCAATGTGAGCCTCTGGGGCCTTCAGATTAGAAACCTGGCCCAAGTTTACCCAGCACCAAACGTGCCACTGCAAGGCACACACCTCACCACGGCCCGCAGGCTCTGTGCAGCAAGGACAGCTTGTCACACAGCTGCACTCCAGGCTTCCGCCTTTCTCCAGCCTTGAGGGTGCTGGGATGCACTCTTACCACCTGGCTGAATTTGCAGACCCAACTTTTATTTCCAGCCCTGAGTCTGAATCCAAGGCCTTCACACTGCGCTGTACGCATCCCCAGCCTCATCTTGCTGTTGTCACTATGGATCACTTGGTTTCCAGGGACGAGTTCTTGCTATAAAGCTGCTCCTGCCTCAGCCCAGTGCTGGGTTACAGTAGTGAGCCACACCCAGCCACACCCAGCCCCTCCAGTCCCCATTTTCTGAGACAGTGTCTTGCTACATCACCACATGGCTCAGGCTTCCCTTGAACTTGCAAACCTCCTGCCTCAGCCTCCCAGAGTGCTAGGATTACAGGTGTACACTACTGACCACACCTGGCTCCAGCCCTGTAAACTTGTTATTCACTAGCCAGGGATGAGCACCCTGAGCATGGGGATTCAGCAGGAAGCCCCAGTGCTGTCGTGAGGCCTGAGTGGGCTGGGCACGCAGTGCTTGGCAGACCTCGTGGCAGGGAATACCAATCCGCTGATGGGGCCCTGCGACCCTTCACAGCTTCAAATCCAATCAACTTTTTTAATTTGTCTTGCAGAAAACGATGTTAAAGACCAGGTGTGCCATTTCACAGAGACTGACCAAGATGCCCGTGCACCCAGGGCCGAGGCTGCTGCCCTTCTGCTTGCTGGGTTCCAGTATTCCAGTGCCAGCAGGCTGCACGTGCATGACGTCAGGGTGTTTCTGCCTTAACTGTGCTAAGGCCATGAAAGCTTGGTGACCCTCAGCACAGTGCATCTCCACAGGGGGAGGCCCTGGAGCATAGCGCAGCACAGTGCACGACTGTGGAGACCCGCGTCCCCTCGCCCCTTACAGCAGCGCCGCCCAGACCTGACCTCCGTCCCACCTGCCCAGGAAGAAACCACTTACTCAGTTGCCTGCCAGGTGCCCCAGGCTGCTCCTCTCCGGCCCAAGTACCCCAAAGCCCGACACCCTGGTCACTAGCGAGGAGCTGCCCTGTGCTAGACATGGCTGTGGAGGGCAAGCAGGTCTGGAGGCACCGCAGTGAGTACGGCCCCCAGCTCTGCGGCTATAGATAAGGCCGCCATCCTAAATGGAGTACCACTCGTGACCGGAAGCAGGCGGCTGTCAGAGGGCACGTCCGGCTGTGCGCTATCTCCCTGGGCTCAGAGGCTGAGGCCGCAGCGCAGACAGCTCCTGCTCACATTTTCCTTCCTACAAGGGACATGGGTGCCGCTGTTCTGCACAAGACCGGTGTCCATGAGCCTGGCATATGCACACTTCCATCTACTGGACCTTGAGCAGAGCCGCCACAACACCAAAAGAAGGTCCAAGGTCACGCTCAGGCCACCTGTTGGTCCAGACAAGCCCAGGTACAATGAGGCTGAGGTGAGAGTGCGGGCGCAGCCCTGGAGTTTCAAAGATCTGACTATGCCTTTCCCGCCTCTCAAAGCCCCATTTTCCAGAGCTCCTGAAGGATCAAACCCTAGCAGCATGTGGATGTCTTTCCTTTTGCTCTTCCTTCACCCCTGCCCTCAGGCCTCCAATTTCCCAACTCTGCTTGGATGGTGCTTGGGGTTGGCGGAACTCTCTGTGCGCGGGTGCGGGCAAAGCTCCTCAAGATCCCGCCTTCTCTCTGCAGGGAAAGCAACTGCTCCTCGGCCAGTTCTGAGACTGTGGTTGGTGTTGCAGATGATCATAGGAGAACAAAGAAAAGCTTATCCAAGTATTTACATCTTAAAGACACTTAAAAACAGGTGATGTATTAAGTGTGCTTGAACAAACCATGTGTGAATTCCATTCAATGTGGAGGTGGTTTCTGCTCAATACTTGCTGACCCGACAGGTATAAGGTTTCCACTGCTGTCATCTGTGCTAAGAAAGGAGCCCTGGAGCCAGCAGCACTGCTGTGTAAGGCAAAGGCCACGCACCCCCAGGAGGCCTCAAAGTGCAGTGCGTGCACCTCACTGCGTGGGGTCCTACGAGTTTCACAAACTTAGTCACCAAAAAATGAGCTAAAAAATGTTCCTTGAACACAAGGGTCTCCTATACTCCACTAAGCCAAAGCCATGCAGTTACTTAGACCTCAGTGTTTTCAAAATCAGCTACTGAACACCCCCGCCCCAAGGAAAAGCCCAGCACTGTATGTTACAGCACAGAAGGCCGCAGTCCCTACTCGCCAAGGGATTAACGATCTCACTCACAATAAACTGCTTTTGCTGGTTTTGGCTCAGAGGCTTAAGTACTTACACAGCTGGAACTGTTTTGTCCGTACGTTTAGCCGTGTTGCTGTTTTCCTTCTGAGGGTGTGGATGTGAGCAGGGGAGCCGAGTGTATCCAGATGAGAGGGAAGAGAGGTCAGGAACCAAACAGGCTTTACAATCTCACTTATCACTGTCTTAAAACATCCGAGTGGGAAGGCACAGCTTCCAGACAGAGAGGGACGCCTCCTACTTGTTCCTGCGAAATTCAGTCTGACAACAATGTCAAAACATCATTTACTATCTGGGCAAGAGCAACCTTCTGAGAGGATTTTAGGGGATACAAAATGCGTAATTTTTGTCCTGAAGTCCATCTTTAGGAGCTTAATTTTTACATTTTCTTGCATATTAACCAAAAAAGGCATGTTAACACACCAAAACTCAAACGATTAGATGAGAAACAACTGTTTAACTTTTAAAATTCCCACACTGTATTTCTATAGATTAGCATTAATTGAAATCTAATTCTGTCCCTAAAATGTGATCTGCTTGGTCATGGACCTAGGAAATGACACTTTTATGAAGGAAAACGGAATTCCTTCGAAACCAAACCAAACCCCGAGCTCTCCCTGGGCCGAGACAACGGACCACACAACTCAGTTAGCACAAATGTACCATTTTCTTTTTGTTAGAAAACGGGGCAGAGAGGGATTTATATATCAAAGTCAGCAGAATTTCTACATCTCACATTTTTGTTGCTAAACATATCCTTAAATTGCTTCTGTCCATTTGGGAAGTTTTGAAGGTGCGCATTAGAGGAAACAGCAGCAAAATACCCAAACAATTCTACTGCTACAAAAGCAGCCACTCCTGCCCGTGCCTTTAGAATACTAGCCGAGGAGAGCATGGACAAGAGGCTAATTTGTGCCATGGTGGGGTCAGCAACTCCAGGAAGAACAAGTTACTCCCTGCAGGCCGTTCAGGGCGGCCTCTCAATCACAATGGGCATGGCTGGCACTCAGCATTCTAAAGGCACGATTCGGGTGGTTCAACAATGATTCTGGGAAGACCGACTGCTCACACGCACACACACACACCGATTTTAATGGTTTAAAAAAAAACCACATCCGTTACTTTAGAAAAATGAATGCAGTGCATCATTTTCAGCAATGTTATCACCACACTCGGCTGCTCAGTCCACACGGAAGCAGCAGCGCTCCCGCAGTGGCCTGTGCCTCGCCAACTCGGGTAGGGTCAGGCCGAGCACAGACGCACAGCTACACAGGGGACGTTACTCGTCAGAGCCCGCTGACCGCTTCTGTGCCCGCTTCCGGGGCAGCCTTCTCGGGGAAGCCTTGTCTGCAAGAAAAGAGAAGGTTCTGAGCTCCCAGATGCGAAAGGTGCCACGCACACACACGCACTCGCACTCCAAGGACAACCAGCTGAGGGCCTCAGATCACCTTTCGTGCAGCCCCCAAGCACACCTCCAGCTAAAAGGAAGCTTTTGCACCCAGCATGGGAAAAACTTGGCCTTGGTTCATGTACTGCTGCAGACACCACCCGAAATATTTTTAATCCCACGAGTTACTATGCCCACACATGCACAAGGAAACAAAGGCGCGACACACGGATGTCAGTGAGTGGGGTTCATCTTTGCAGTCTGCATCAGCGAACACACTTGGAATACGCAAGCAAACAAAAGAACGAGTGTTTCAACGCTAAACCCATGCCGTGCACACAGCACTCTTCACATCCCATCTCCTAAATTAGATTCTGAGAGGGCTGATTTAACAGAAAATAATTTACGTTGCGTTTCTCCTATTTGCATCCATTTACTAACAGAAAGCAAAAGGCTGGACATATCTCCTCTCTGACCATTATTATTTTTTACTTTCTGCAAGAACTTTACCCACCAGGTCTAAGAGCAGCTTGCTGTAGAATACGTTATAAATAAAAATCACAGAAGAGGAAAGGAGGGAGGGGAAAACAAACATGTATATCTGGACACAGTGGACTGCAATTGTAGTTCCAGTACTTTAGAAGACTGAGGCAGGAGGATCCCTTAAGCAAGTTCATCGTAAGCCTGGGCAACACGTGAGACCCTTCCTAAACCTTCTCCAGTCATTTCTCCAGTTAGAAAAAACTACGTGAAAAGCTGGGAAACCCCAAGTACGGGGTTTATTTATAAATATTTTGGGAAACGAAAAACAACCTACCTAAAAGATCTCTATCAGAATTCCAAGATGTCTGTATGGTTTCTGTTAGGTGCCCCAAAGCCCCAGAAATCACAGGTGGGGCCCTCCCTTCTCCCTGCTTTCCTGTCCGCCAGGCCCCTCTGCCCTGCTGTCCTGCCTGGGAGCCAGCTGACTGGACTGAAAGGTGAGCCAAAATAAACCTGTCCTCCTTAAACTGTGGCTGTCAGGTATTCTATCCCAGCAACAAGGGAAGGGACTAAGATGCAGTTCCTAAAACAGAGACAATACTTGTATTTTAAAAAACTTTTTCCCATATTTTATAATTTTACAGTAAATGTTTATCAAGAATATCTCAGGACTGCTGGGGTGCACACCTACAATCCCTGCTACTTGGGAGAGGCTGAGGCAGAAGGATCACAAGTTCAAGGATAGCCTGGGCAACTTACCTAGTCTCAAAATAAAATAAAGAAAAAGGGTGGCAATGCGGCTCAGTAGTACAGTGCTTTCCCAGCACGTTCCAGGAAGCCCACGCATTTAATCCTTTAACATTTAAAGACAGAAAGTTCTCTTAAATATGCTTAAGAGTTAAGGACTGGAAGATTAAGACTGAATCTGTAACTCCCATGAAAACAGGTCAGCAATGGATGGGTGTGGGAGCTCTTCCCTTGCCTGAAACTTACTTTCGAGCGTAGATGCATTTTCCTGGTGAAAAAAGCCTACAACTTTTATCAGACTTTTCAAAAAGCTCAGACTAGGAACTAAAGCCCTTGCGCAGCTGACCCATTTCCAAGTAACTTCTTAAAACAAGTGGACAGACTCCTTCCAATCTCACCGCTGCCCGTGTGAGCGGGGAGGGCAGGCACTCCCAACACCCACGAGCTTTGACTGCAGGAATACGTGAAAATCGGCCCCGAAAACCCTCTCCTGACAGGAACAGCCCCTCAGAAGGGCAGCCCGCATGGCCCCCTCTCCACAAGCCCAGCTAACCTGCCCAGCTGCCCAGGGCCCAGCACACAGAAGGTGAGCCGCAGACAGGTGCTTGGAGTCATTCAGCTTTTGGGAAAATGGTCCTAATGCCTCAAAACCACAGGAAGAAACTTCTACCCAAACAGACAGCAACCACTGAAGCGTACGTACACTTTACAACTACGGGAAATACCTCCCATTTACTACTCCCCCAAAAGACACCTAAGAATTTTTTAAAACTCCAACAAATTAAGATCAAAATACTTTACCTTTCAAGAGTGACACTTAAACTACATGAAAAAAAGTCCTCTAAGTGTTAAAATCATGTCATTCCTCAATGATACTGAATGAGGTAGACTTGAAAATCCTATACTTCCCGTTTAAAAGATGTTTTTTAAAACATCAACAAATTAATGATAGTACAATTGTAACTTACTGCAAAGTTTAATGCATTTTTTTAAAAGGACAAGAGCACAATGTTGGCCACCGCCTGCCCTTTTTAGACTGTGCACACATCAGTCTAATTTTCCCAGCAGAAGCGCTTCAGCTTTCAGGTGATGTTTTGAAAAAATCAGTGATATTTAAATCACAAGTTTTCTAAGTGATCCCTTAATAAGAAACTTAAAGCTACATTCTCACAGTTACCAATAAAGGTTTCTCTATATACATTTAAAACACTATCACTAAGCAACATCTCTATACTTTCCTACGAAAATTGGCTCATCCGTCACTTTATAGCTAAAATAAAAAACCTTGGGTGAAGTTGAAGCAGCCTAACCTGAAACGCAAACTATCAGGAAAACCTGCTTAGCAACATCAGTCAGGAGGGGGAGGACACCTGCCGCTTGCTGGTTCACACCCTGTCCAGTTGTCTTTATTCCTTTATTCTGTCTCCAGCCCGTCCAGCCATGTCCTATCTCTGGGAGAAAGGACTGACTGTCTCTAAGTCACCTGTAATCCGTTCATTCACTGTGCTCTAAGAAAACCCTCTGCTGCCTGCCCCTCTCAAGGTCACTGAGATGTGACACCCGCTCCTGGGTCCCCCAGGCCCACTCACCCAGGCACTCTAGAGCTCTCCAGGTCACCCCAGTGAATGCCAAGGCTGACCCCACTGTTGTCAGGAAGCAAGCGTGGCGGGGGGGACCTCAGGCACAGTGTGCAAAATTATTACAACCGAACTGAAAAGCAGTACTATTTCATAATTTTTAAAACATACATATTTTCTAGCTCAAGGGCTTAGAAACAATGAGCCCAGTATTAATGACATTCCAGATAACTTTTCCTTTTTTCTGAGGCAGGGTCTTTTGCTCTGTAGTTCAGGCTGACCTTGAATTCACTAGCCCAGGCTCACCAGCCCTGAACTCATAGGTGATCCTCCTGCCTCAGCCTCCCAAGCGCTGGGATTAAAGGCATGTGCCACCATGCCCAGCTCCAAATGTCAGATTTTACTTTCCAGGATCCTTGAAGGAGTCTTTAAAGGTTTAGGACAGAGAAGATATAAAAGTTTCGATTAGATTTCTAACATCAAAAGGTAAGGATCCCAGTAGCCAAAGTTATAACAGTATGAGTATAAAAATAAAGCTGCATGAAGCATACGAATTCCATAAAACACAACGTTATATATAGCAATCAAAAAAGGGGAGGAAAATTCTTTCATCACCACTTGGGTGGATTTTAAAATGTCTTTTTAAAAAAAACATTGGCAAAAGGTAAAATTAAATATTGATCCTACTTTTCCAGTAGGAACTATGTAAGTGATCAAAGACTCCTAGCTTTGTACTACTATACACTTTAATTTTTTACATTTATATCTTTTATATAAAATCGAACAATTGGAAAACATTTCTACATTCCTTTATAAAATTTAGTATTCAAACAAACTGCTTATGTAATAAAACATATTTGTTATGTAAACTCTCAGATAATATTTTAGGTTTACTCTTTCAAATAGTAGTTTTTCCACTACAATTTAGTACAAGAAAACAGTTCCTAAGGTTCACTAAACTTGTTATAAATCATTCACACAAGAGCCCCCCAAATTGGTAAATATCATTAAAAAAATGAATCACCTCACCTCTTCTACTCTGCACTGAAGCAACAGGAAAGAGAGAGACAGGAAACAGGTTAGGAATATAGAATGCACAGGTTTGCAAATCAACCACAGAGCCAAAGTACAGTACTGCTAAATTAAAGCACAGAGATTACTACAAAATCATCTGTAGAGTCTATACAAATCCCTGTACCACATCCTCCACAACAGAAAAAAGGAGTGCTACACATTACTGACCCAAGTATTTTTTGCTAAATCTAACATATTTAAACTTTCATTCAAGAAGAAAATCTTGGCATCCACACATCACACTACTTACTGATCTGATTCAGAGTCTCCTGAGGGATCCAACTCAGGTCAACGTCATTCTGACTCGCCGTTCCCATCTCCACCTTCTGTATCGGTCTCTTGCGCTAGAAAACATAAACATGCACTTTAGAGGAGTTCCTCTCCCTCTGTAAAATGTTCAAATGTTAACCGAGAAACTCAATTGGAATATTTTATTGTTATGTTGTTTTCCAGTTTTAAATAATACTAACTCAAACATACATTCACTACAGAGTAAAATCGTTATAAAATAAATTATAAAGAATAAATTATACAAATTCTTATTTTGGGAATTTAAATACCTCTACCCTTGATATAAAGGTTCATGTTATTATTATACCAGAGGGGGACAAAATAAGAACCTCCAGACAATGTTTTCCTTTCCATTTGGGAATAAAACCTCAAAAAATATATTTACAGTCAATAAAATTCAAGGTAATTAAAAAAATGTTGCACACAGTCTTACACTATAAACTAGACATTAACAACTGGCAAAGATAAAAACATAAAATCTCCTTTAAGCTAACAATCTCACTTGAATCTAAAAACAAACTTTCTCCCTACAGTATTAGGCAACAAAACTACCAGAATGTAAACTGCGATTTCACTTTTTTTTTTAGCCTTCTTCTGAAATTAAAAAAAACAAAACCTATTATTTGTCCATAAATTAGATTTTGGATACAGAAACTAAGCCATGGATACATTTAAATGAAAAACAAACAGGATGCAATTATACCTAATATATAAATTTGTAGCACAAACTCCAACTATTATGCAACAGTTGACAGTTACAAATACAAGGTGGCCAGCGGGTTTCCCATTGTGTCACTGCATCTGACACAATCTGTATCCTTTACCCACAGGTTCCTCCATCAGGGTTGAGGGAGGGATGCGGGAGAGGATGCACAGACACAGACCTGGAGGTGTCAGCCACTGCGCCCAGGCCAAGACAGGGCCAGGGCCGGCACTCTGGGGTGGCCTTTACCGCCTAGTCACAGAACCGCAAGCTCAGCCAGGACAACTGCAGCCACATTATTTCTTCTTTGAATGAAAGGACTTGTTTGCTAATTAAAAATTACCCCTGTGAGGGGGCAAAGTGGCACACGATGTAATCCCAAGGACTCAGGAGGCTGGGGTAGGATCACAAGCCTGGGTAAACGGCAATACTATCTCAAAGTTAAAAATAAACCCAGGTGTGGTGGCACATGCCTATGATCCCAGCACTCAGGAGGAGGCTGAGGCAGGAGGATCACTGTGAGGCCAACCTGGGATACACAGCAAGAGACTATCTCCAAAAACCCAGAAAAAAACTAAAAGAAAAATAAAGGGCCAGGGACGTAGCTCAGTGGCACCATGCCTGTCTGGCAAGCACAAAGTCCTGAGTTCAATACCCCAGCACACACACACACACACACACACACACACACAAAGAAAAGACAAGACAAGACAAGACTAAATAAATACTAAAGGGCTGGAGATGTAGTGGGGGGGGTTTCATTATTCCCATATTGAGATTACTACAGCAAATAAAAAAGGTGGGTTGTTTAGAATAACACACCCATAAAAAACTATAATAAGCAGAAAATTAAATCTTACTGAGTTTGAGGGGAAAAAAATTCTACCATAATTTAGACTTACAGCAAGACAAGAAAGGTCACTCTGAAGGATGCAGACAAGGACACCAAATGCACATGTGTGTGAAAGTCTCAATGTGCCAAAGCCACACATCCAAGGTCTCACCTTCAGGTTTCATTCTTATTTATTCTTTTTTTTTTTTTTTTTTTTTTTTTTTTTTTTTTTGGTACCGGGGATCAAACTCAGGTCCTCGCGCTTGCCAGGCAGGCGCCAGAACCACTGAGCTAAATCCCCAGCCCAAACCTCTTATTTATTCTTAAGAGTAGAAAATAGGAATAGGAACAGCTCCTGTGGGACAGGAGGGGACCCAGAAAGGGGCTGCCCTGTTTCCTTTACATCTGTAAGAAGCCACGAAGAACCAGCTTGTGCTTGGCACTCTGACAGCTTTTGAAGTAAGGCCATAAACGTACTTCAATGTAATTACCTTTCTAGATTCCAGGAGCTGATGAAGGCCGACAATGAGCAGAAGCCCAAGACCAGCAAGGAACATATACATAAAGATTCTGGCATAAAAGGAGAAAATACAGACTGGCTTTAATTTGTAAGAAACATCATGATTAGTTACCACCCTAACCCTAACATGAGACAGCTAGTGTCAGCTTTCTAGCCAAGCTGGGGGCAAAGAAATAAGATGAAATGATTTAATACTTTAAACTTTATTCTATAAATGCATTAGATTTTTCTGCCTCAAATTTTACATTATTTTGCACAACTGGATTAAAAAATTACTTTAGTGAATTTTATCTTAGTTCACAGTAAATAATTCATTACTCAGAAAGAACAACACTTTGCAAAAGAAAATGTAACTTACATAAAATGAGCAACTTTTGAGGCACATAAAATACAGGTTTGGCTAAGACTGGTCTGAGGAAAGATAGAAAGCCAGCTGCCACCTCTGTGAAAAACTGCCAGTTTTCAACTATCTTCCCTCCAAAAGTCGAGTCTATGAGTACAGATTTCATCAAATCTGTAGTCTATTCCCTTCTGACCTTTCAACAAATACTTCAGAAACAGAGTACACCTTCCCGTCCTGCAATACAAGATCATGGGCAATTTTCACTCACGTTTCTCCATCTAAACCATCCTCTCTTTCAATAACTGTAACAGTTTGATTGAAGACAGCATCCTGGAATACATTGCCCTGTTTAAAAAATAGATTTAATTTAATTTAATTTCAAAAAAAATACAAAAATCTGAAAAACATTAAAAGAACAAATGCTTTCTTAAAAGATTTCTTAAAAGCCTTATTTAACAGATTTAATACAGCTTTCTCCTCACTTGGGTCAGCAAGACTCAACAGCAGACATAACTACACTATTCAGTGCCAGGGACCCAGCGTTGCAAGGTTAACTTCTCCAATAAAGCAAGTGTGCCGAAGTGATCATCCGCCTTCCTTGGGAAGCGGGAGAAGATGACTAAGGAACCAGGAAAGCAGGGTATAAATGAAGTAAAACTTACAGAAAGCAAGCAAGCTCACAGGCCACTGTGACACTAGCACCTGCAGCCTCGGCTGTGCCACCATCCACAGACAGGAAGAAGCACAGAAGCTTCCAACAGCACCTAGAGTGAGGCACGTGGAGAAGTATCCAGCCCAGGAAACTTACTGACTTAGCAAGACTGTCTAAAAATAAGGGCAGGGAGCTGCTAAAGGTCAAGGCCTGGGCTTGCTCCTTGGAATTGGGAAGTGCGGGTTCACGCTGTAAACCGACAAGGGGCTAGACACCAATTCCTTCATAATACATGGGCTGGTGATTTTTTACACCAAGGCATCTTTCTGTCATGGTCTTGAAACAATCGTATTCAAAACGATTTCAGCTCTCAACTACATCACAGTTCACTGGGGCAAACAAAGATAGTGTTCTCGATGTATAATGCTCCAGCAAAGGCAGCAGTGCTCTTTCAAAACTACCACGCACAGCTGAAACAGCACCATGCAAGTTCTACTTCCAATTCCTTCGCCATCGTTCCTGGATAAGGACACAGTGATAAAAATAATGCTCACACTGGAGCTGGAACTGAAACTGCACAGATACCGATGGATTAATTTAATCCTACTTGAAAATGAGATGGAATATGTAATTCTTCAAGCTACTGAAATATAAATTTGAGTCAGGTTAATTCAGTACCTTGAAGAAGAAAAACTCTTTACCAACTAAAATTAAAAAAAAAGGAAGCCTTGCCGGGCGTGGTGGCACATACCTGTAATCCCAGCACTCGGATCACTGAGTTCGAGACCAGCCTGGGCTACATAGTGAGTTCCAGGTCAGTCACAACTACATAGTGACACCCTGACACCCTGTCTCAAAAAAAAACCCACCAAAAATAAATAAATAAGAAAAGAAAAGAAAAGAAAAGAAAGCCTTAATTGCAGAGCAGGAAACCTAACTCAGACATAATGTAAACACACCCACACTGGGTGACGAGAAGCCTGAGTAAGATCCCAACGGAAAACTTTCGGAAAAGGGAAGGGCTGAGAGCACTCATCAGAGGAAGTATCTAAAGGCTGGCACCTGCAGGTCAACTCCCGACAGCCAAGCTTGTTGTGGATCTCTCCGACTCCATCACTGGGGACATACAGGATCTCACCCGCATTGAAGTGGGCAAAAGGCTCACAACAGAGAAGGCACAAATCACGCAATATGCACCAACGTCTAAATAGTGGCGGCTGAACTGTCTTTTCCCTGTTAGATACAGCTCAAGTCACTTCCACCACCTCACAACAGCGTCTAACCACACTCAGCTGCAGCCCACTCCTGTTTCCAGACATCGCCTCCACTGGACAGTACACCTGAAGACTGAGCTGTGCATTCCCACTGTCTATTGCTGTTTTAATCACAAAATTCACACATGAATAAACAGGAAAACAAAAATAGTGCCAGCTGTCCCCAGTCAACTCTAACCTTAAAAAAAGAAAAAGGTTTAGTAGGCCTTACATTCAGATCCTTGTAGTTCAAATTGATGACCAGACCAAAGGGCCGTCCGCCCATGGGCTCTGCAGGAATGAAGGAGTACTCAAACGTTGCCTGTCTCTGGGGCGGCACCAGTGTGTTCAGAGGAAGAGCCGTGAAATTCTGGATGTAGAACTGGTAGTCCTGAGGGTAGCGGAACGAGGCATCCAGGGACTCAACGATAAAATCTTCTGTACCCTTGTTTGTAAAGCCTACCAGGAACTTCACAATATTATTTGCTGGGAAATCTGAGAAACAAAATAGATAAAAGAAAATCAGAACACGTTCAGAGTTCAAAATGCAAAGCAGACACTGCCAGCGGGTCCTGTAGGCTTTGCTATGGCCACATGTGAACCTAGCCCTGGAACCCTTTTCAACAGAGCACTCTAGCCGCACGCTAACCAGCCAATGGGAGCGCATCCATCTGTACTCCAGCCTTCAGAGCGCAGGAGCTGAGCGGGGCATCTCAGTCTCAGACCAGGATGCGTCCCAATCACATGGTCTAAGAGAGAGCTGCATACTTCGGAGCCAAGACTATCACACACCGGTAATAGCACGACACCAGTCAGATCACGGGAAGGAGGGTGCTTGCTTTCATTTTAAACAACCCTGTCTATCATCCATGAAGATAAATGTCACCTCCCTTACATTTTTTCCTGTTGTCTCTTTATTTATTTGTATAGGTAACTTTTCTGGGCTTTATGTATGGATTTATTTTAGTACCAGGAATCAAACTCAGGGTCTTGTGCTTGCCAGGCACATGCCACTGAGCTACATCCCAGCTAGGTTTTATTTTTAAAAGGTGCAGCAAAGCAGTACGTCTAATAACCTATGGTGAGAGTAAGAAGTCATAAAGAGTTAGGCTATGCTTAAATTATCAGACTTCCTGATTAATGGCTTCCAACAAAAACACTTTAGTAACTACTAACTCTAGTCTACAGAGTTGAGTCTGAATCCATCTACGAACTGGGTAGCCCTGGACAACTCTCTTGACCAATCTAAACCAGAACTACCCCACAGGGTCTGTTAAAAGTAATTAACACAAGCAAAGTACTGAGAACAGCATCTGCCGCAGAGCCCTCCATAAATACCACCCATTATGCTCACAGGCTGAATCTTCCTAAACTGAAAACGGAAACGCTCCAAAATCTGAGCCATTCTAGCTCTCCCGTGACTTCCCAAGAGACAAACTCCACATGTGACCTCAAATAACAGGATGCACTCAAAACGCAGGCGCCATGAGCATACTGCATAAAATTACCTTCCGGTTCCACGGACAGTGTACATGGAACAAGGGAATATCTGCTTGGACATGGGTCCCCTGCCCAAGCTCCCTCGTTATATATATTCAAATACTCCAGATTTTTAGGAAACTTAATATCTAAAACACTTCTGAGCTCAGGCATTTCAGACAAGGGTTACTCAACCGGTACTTTCATTTAATGAAACCTAGGTTCTAACCAAAGCATACCTGGAAAGATTTAGTATTTTGCTAGTATTTAAACAGTTAAGACAAACTACTTTGCAGAAACAGTTTTTAAAAAGTTTAACAGTATCACTGAAATAGACACTTTAATTTCTAGTTGAACCACATAGCATTTATTTTTCACCTTTAAGACAGTAATACTATACAGATACCAGTGTTCATATGTATAATCTTTTCCCAAACTACTTGTTGACATAATGCTTCTCCCCAAAAGCCATAGTTGACATTTAGAAATTCCTCTATTGGAATCAAAACTAGTAATTCTGTATTACCTTCTCCTTTTACAAATAGGATAGTCGTATCTGCACTTGGTGAAGCTTCAGGTTCCCCAGATACATCTTCTTCCTCTTTATCTTCTGCCTATGTAAAACAAAATTAAAGAGATTACTAATGGGGAAAAAACCATCACTGTTTGAATTTGTAGAGATTTCCCTAGATTTGGGACAAAGCACTGCTTTTTCATAGCTTTGTTGGTATCAGTGCTATGAATTTCACTGTATCTCACCATTTAAATAAAACTTCCAGGATGGTGCCTCTGACTATGCAAGCTAATCTCTGGGGATCTGGCAAATCTGATTCGTGTCAGGGTTAAGCCTGAAATTCTGTATTTGAGGGGGGGGAATTGAGTCAAGGTCTTATTATGTAGTTGAGACTGACCTGGAACTATGTAGCCCAGGCTGGTCTCAAACTCACAGCGATCCTCCTGCCTCAGCCTCCCAAGTGCTGGGATTACAGGAGTGCACCACCATGCCCGGCTGAAATTCTGTATTTTTAACAAGCACTGGGGAAGCCAACACTGCTAAAGTTCTAACCATACTTTGAACTGTAAGGTTTGGGAGTAGGGATTGGTAAACTTCCTTCCTGTAAAGATTAAAACAGCAGGGGTCTGAGATATAGCTCAGTAGTTCCACCACCAGCCTCAGAAGCGCAAGGTCCCAAGTTTGATCCCCGGTGCAAAAAAAAAAAAAAAAAAAAAAATTAAACAGCAGTTTGAGCTTTGCCAACCATAAGATCTCACAACTATTACTGCAGCATGAAAGCAGCTGACAAAAGATAAGAAGCAGGCTGGCTCTGGGCAGCAGCTACAAATCCACACCATTCCCAAGCACTGTGATAGCATCCTGATTAACAGGACTATGAAAATCAGTCACAATGCAGATGGTAATGGGGAAGGGAGGCAAAGGCAGGAGGATTCCAAGTTTGAGTTCTGCCTGCACAACTTGGTGAGACCCTTTCAAAAAAAAGTAAAAAGGCCTGCGGATGTAGATCAGTGGTAGAGCACCCTGGGTTTAATCCCCAGAACCACCCCCACCCCCACACACACCCCAGCAGCAGCAGCAGCTGGCAGAGGAGGGAAAGAAAGAGAGGTAGAGGGGTGCCACAGAAGCCAATCTGGAGGGATTTGTGGAAGAGTAATCAGCAAATACAAAAGAGACACAAATAGCAGAACCTTGGAAAATGGACCAGGTATTTGGCAAGGAGGTGGCTGGTGATCTCAGCAAGAACAGTTCACGAGACCAGACCACAGGAGAGAAGTGAGCATTAGAGAAAACTGCATTGGTTATTCTTCCCCGCCCCCCCCAGTACCCAGATTGAACTCCGGACCTTGCACTTGCCAGGGTGGCGCAGCACCCATGAGCTGAATCCCTGACCCTCTATTGGTTTTCTTTCAAGAAGCAACCAGCAATGGTAAAATAAGAAAGTGGAAACAGCTTAGGGTGAACGAACAGTATGTAAGCACAGGTCAGCCTAACAGAATCAAGCCACTGAGAAGGAGTAGTGCCTAAGTTATATAAGCAAAGAATAATCTAACAAGTTCTCAAAGAATGAGATGGAGACAAGAGTCAAAGTGCAAGAGTTACACTTAGAAAAGAACAAAGACAAGTCATGATTAAAGAGAAAATGCAGAAATCATAAGTACATTCCAGTGCCAGAGTCCAAGTAATGTCTTTTTTTTTTTTTTTTTTTTTTTTTTTTTGAGATAGGGTCTCCATATGCAGTTAAGGCTGGCCTTGAATTCACTATGTAGCCCAGGTGGGATCAACCCACCTCAGCCTCTAAGGGCTGGGATTACAGGAAAGCGCCTCCATGCCCAGCCCAAGTAATTTCAGAAAGATGATTCTAACAATGTAATTTACTACTAAATTCCTGTAAATGCCCAAAATTTGAAGTCCTAAATATCTTCTTTAATACTAAATTCCCTTCTTATGGTCACTCTAAGCCAGTGGTGGCGAACCTTTTAGAGCTTTCAATGATAACAGCCAGCTAACTCGGGCACATGCGCTGTAGGTTCACCACCACCACTGTAGCTTAACCACAAGGAACACGTGTATTTTTAGAATATTACTGACAATGAAACAGCAACATATTGATCTAGTTAAAATTGTTCATCTAACAAACTGGGCTGAAGATGCAAAGCTTTAACATACTCTTTGACAGTGCAGTATACATAAAAGACATGATACACAGGTAATTAGTAAAAGTTTCCTAAGGGAGGAAGAGGGGGACGAGGGGTAATCAGATAAAATAGCATGTGCCTATGTATCAAAATGGGAACTCAAAAACATCAACAAAATATCAAGATCATCTCAGGTGGAAGGCATATGCCATCAAATGAAGTGGGGGGGGCCTGACAGAGAGGGGAGAGAGAAAGAGAGAGAGAGAGAGAGAAGAACTCTATATTCAAGGTTAATCTTTTGATACTAAAATACCAGGAAAACAGGGAATTAGTGGCTCCATCTTGAAGGAAATGAAAATAATCTAGAAATTCATAAAGTCCTAGGTTCAAGGGTTGGGGAAGTAGCTCAGTGACACAGTGCCTGCCTGGCAAGCACAAGGTCCCGAGTTCAATTCCAGTAGTAAGGAAAGAAAAGAAGTCTCCAGGTTCAAATCCAGTATAAAAAAGGGAATAAATGTGTATAGATCACAGTCATCCCAGAAAGGAGATGAAATTAGCTAGAAATATGCTGCAATGGTCATGATTCCAGCCCAATGCTCTTACTGTCGTACTATAATTATACAGCAAAATATTCAGAGCTGGGCAACTTCAAAGAGATTGTCTTTAACCCCTTACACTCCTGGATACATTTTTTTTTGGTCCACTCTTCACCCCGCCACCAAGACACAGGTACACTATCCCAGCAACAATGCTGACAGAGCAAAGATCTCATCTGTGTATGCTGGCACCCAGAACCACGTTGCACAGAGAGCAGCTTTCTGAGTGAGGCTCGGTGACTGCTCCTGATGACAGGAAGCCAGCCAGCAAGCCGGAAAGAGATCCAGAGAGCAAGGTCAGAGGGCTGCACCACAGAGCCAGCGTCTGTGACCTCATCCATACGATCTTGAACGGCTGTTCCTTGTGCGTACTATGGCTTCTCCACTCCAGAAAACATTTATTCTCCATCCTCAGAGACTAACCCCATAACTCCAACTCTAATTCACTTTGATCATAATAAACCTCCAAAAATAAGAACTTAATGTGAAACCTGTCCATAAAATAAAAATTCTAGGCCGGGCGTGGTAGCATACACCTGTAATGCCAGCACTCGGTTGGCTGAGGCCATCCTGGGCTACAAAGTGAGCTCAAGGCCAGCCTGCACTAGAAAGAAAGACCCTATCTCAAAAAGAATGAAAATAAAAATTCTAGATATATTATGCACACACTAGATGCATCAAAGAGTGCACAACACTAACCAAATCTGTGGGTTCATCTTCTTCTACCTCAGCTTCCTCATCTTCATCTTCAATTACTGAATCTTCCACTGTTTCTTCATCCTCTGTAAGATCTTGAGCCACAACTAATGAGCCTAAACAGTAAAATACAAAATAAATGAACTTTACTTGGAATGCCAACTTTTAAAAATATCAAGTAGGGCTGGGGATTTAGCTCAGTGGTGCTGCCTCCTGCCTCACAAACACAAAGACCCGAGTTCGACCCCCCCACCCAAAACTCCCCCTGGAGTAAATTGAATGATGCCAAATTACAGTGTGTCTAAGAATATTTGAATTACTTATTTTACTAGTAGTCTTAACAAAGGCATGTTAATTTTAATGGGAAAGTCGGTGTACTTTTTAAAAGTTTCCAACAGCTGGAAAAATGAACTTCAGAAACCAAAGATGCCCTAAAACCCAAATAAAAAAACTCAAACAATTTTGGTTAAGCAAATTAATAAACATTTTTTGCAAAGAAGATGTGAAATGTAGCTCCTATCATTAACCATGTAAAATAAAACATTAACAAA